GTGACTCAAATCTGAGTCTGTCTTGCTTCAGTCTTTGCTTTTATTCATATCATAACATAGATGGAGAATGGGTAAAGCTGATCTTTCATTACATCATTTGATTTAGAAAGCTATGAAATTATTCAGTAAAAGGCACAAAGGCTTTGCCAAAATCTGTTGTTGATCTTATTCTCAGTGTACTAAACATGCAAAGTTTTCAAGAATACACAAGAAAATTAATCCGACCTCTACCATAAATCCTTTAAGTTGGTGGACAAGAATGAACCTCATTTCTAAGGAGGTCATCTCATCTAAATATAGAGAAAATGAGTCATAAACACAAGGTTTTAAAAAATGTATATAAAGAGAATTGTGAAACCACATCTGGAATATTGCCTACATTTGTCATTGTCATGTTACAAGAATGTATAACACAACTGTAAAAGAGAAACAAAAATAAAGTTTCTTTAAGATAACTAAAAAATAATATATTTTAGAGTAGAAAAAAGAGGCCTGCTGTGTTGAGAGTGGCAAGGGAATTAGAAAAGGCACATGAAGTGAACATTATGCCTTGTATAATATCAAGAGGAAATGTGACTTCAAACCAGATGGAGTAACAGAACTGAAATACTAGGCTTGACACTCACTTTTATATCCTTTTTGTTGTCCTTTTGACTTTCTTTTACCTGCAGATAACTGCTGAGAAACCAACAGTTAAAACCTCCTGGACTATTCTAGGAAGAGAAAAAAATTGGTGACACTAAGCCAGAAGAGAAGGCTGATAGTGGAGGCCATAATGAGTTTTGTATAGATAAAGGGATAGAATATGAATGACAGGAAGATATTATGTATTTCCATTGAGACTAGGGAAAGACGGAAGGTCAAATTTAAGAAGGGTGCCCTATGGGCTTAGAGACACAAGATTGATTTTTTCAATGGAATAATGTTTCAAAATTACACTCTGCCAGGCAAGTTGTTCTCACACTGGTTTAGGTTCAGTAGTGCACTGAAAGACGGACAGTTTTCAATGACCTTTTTCAGACCATGATTAAAATTGTTTACCAGTTTTCTCATATCTTGCAAGATATGTATAAAATAATGATTCTCCCCTAATCTGACTTGGCTGTTTTAGCCTGGGAGTTTCTGTTTTACAGTCCTTTGTCCACAGAATTTCATTTTATAATGCAAAAAAGTCAAAGGAGATAGATGATCTTGATAGTTTCTTATGCAACAGAGCTGCTCACTTTATTTAAATGGAAATGTGCATTTTCATGGAAATTCAGGCCAATATTGATGAACGAAGATAAGCTGCCACTATTAAATAGAAGAGTGATACACACATACACACAAAAGCACCCTAGAAAACTTATAAAAAAGTGAAATTCACAGGGAAAGATGGAGAATGTTAAGAATATATGTACAGAAAAATTAAATTTTTATGGTTCAGTTGCACAGTATTTCGATGGTTACTAGTCGAAAATCTCAGGACAAAGATTGAGGAAGGCAGCCTTAATACATATATCTTGAGAAGCATAGTGATTTAATATGAAAAGATTAAGTGGCACATTATCTTTTACAAGTAAATATTAGCCATCTAACAAACATTGTTCAGTGAATGTGTTAAGAAATATCACGGGTCAGGTGTGATATTATGCTTTTTGTGAAAATGTTAATGTGGGTGTTTTACATTTATTTTTGATAACTCATTTAAGAAAGATTTAATGATTGTATATTGTGCTTTTCCAACTAGACATCTGAAAATTAATCTTAACTGTTGCTTTGCATGCATGTCTTGCATCTATAAGAGATGGAGGTCTCGTATATTTTTCCTTGGCAACAAACTGTGAATCTAAGTACTCCTTTCCATTCCTACCGTCTTAATTCTTATGCCTTAATTCTGCCTGAATATCCTTCACTTGACAATTGTCACAACCTGATATCTGGCCTCTCTCATCTTCTCCACCCCATTTCATCTCTGTCCAGCATCTAGACTACCACTTAAGTCACTTAATTTACATTTCCAAGGGGACTACTTAAAGGACAAAGATGAAGAAGAAATAGAGTCTGAGAAGAAACAGTCAATAGCTGGGGAAAGAAAATAAAGGATACGAGGCAATCTAAGAAAGTATGTATAGTTACAGATTGGGAAAGTAACCAGAGGTACACAGATGCTACGTAACAACTGGTTCTTCTTCAACTTGAGTAATGTTTTGTCCACACTGCTGGTATGGAAAATATGCACACTTCACACATTCACAAAAATAAAGTTTTAGAAACATGACTGCTATGGTTTGAATGTGTCCCCTCAAGTGCACACATTGGAAATGTAATCCTTAATACAACCGTGTTTAGAGGTGGGACCTAAAGAGGTAATTAGATCATGAGGGCTGAGCCCTCATGACTGGATTAATGCAGCAGGCTTGTTTTAAAAGGTGGAGATCAGCCCCCTTTTTCTCTCCCTCACCCATGTGATGTCTTCCACCACGTTATGATGTAGCAGGAAGACCCTCACCAGATGTGGCCCCTCAATCTTGACTCCAGCCACCAGAACCTTGAGCCAAAAAAACTCTGTTCATTATAAATTACCTGGTGTGAGGCATTCTATGAGAGCAGCATAAAAGGGCTATAACAATGATCTAAAGGAATAAATTGACAGAGCAGTACTGACCAGGGGCACAAAAAGGCAAGTTAGGTTTTAACACTTTTTCATTATTTTTCTGAATATGGACAGTAAAAGGACTCTTAGCATATTGTTTGAAAGCTGAAACAATCAACGACGAATACAGATTTAAAAAGAGACCCCAATCTATAGGAATAACTACATGGTTTAGATAGTCTGTCTTTGTCAAATGAGATAAATCCCATTATGACTTATTAGAGTTCAGGGAAGGCAGGTGGAATAATGAAACGAAAATAATCTCTTTAGTAGTTAAGTTTTGCTTTTGCAGTAACCATTATACTCTGTTAAGAGGAAAATTTATATTTTAGTTGAAAAAATCCCAAAATAAAAGAAACGTTTAATTTCTTCTTATTGTTTATACTTCAGATACTTGATTTTATCTCTCAACATTATGATTTCACACACTGGCATTTTGTTACGTTGTAGCACAAAGGGCTAAAACAGAAATTGCTTCTCCTGTGTCTACGTGAGTATTGAACAAGACAGTATAAAAAGATATCAGTTTTTCTCAGGTGCAAGAAGAAGAAAGCCAAACATTGTGTGCAATGGAGATTACTCAACCTCCTCTCTTCTCTATCCCTTTGCTGTTTTAAGAATACAAACTCCAAAGCTAAATGAATATAATTCAATCACTCTTCTCAATTATGCTTGCTGATGTGCTCTTTGTTCAGTGGAAGACGATAGAGAATCTGGTTCCATTTCAGGTCCTTAATCTTTCTGGTATGGCAGCTTCTTTGGCTGAGAACATAAAGATTATGAACATAAAGGCCCTTGTGGCAGCTTTCAGAGGGAGACCCAGCCATGCAGGAGATGAGGTGATCTACGGTACATAGGGAATGGAGTGAAATCAGGAAGAACTCTCTGCAAATGTGCCTGAAATTCTTGAGGTAGTTCTACTCTCTGTGTAACAGGATTAGCTTCATGAGTATGTGACTTGTGCAGTCACATAGAGCCTTGAGTTTAGGTGTGCCCTATAGTTGGTTTAGTTCTCTGTTGTCACCTTCTTGAAATTCCTAATAAATTTTTAACAACAGACTCTGTATGTTTCAGGGTATACTGGGTCCTGCAAATTATGTAGTTTCTCCTTCTGTATGTTTCAGGATATACTGGGTCCTTCAAATTATGTAGTTTGTCCTTCTGGGGGAAAAAGGACTTTGAAAGAAACAGAGGATCATCAGCTGCTTTCTTTTGGCCTTTGTAAAGACATGACACCTGGCTGGAATGGCCATGCTTGCATCTGTTCTGCTGTTTCCAAAGGATTAAACAAATCTCCAGCATCTAGAGGAGACCTATGTTTCCCATTAAGATCCAGTCTCCCTTCTCTAGTTTAGGAAAACAGCCCCCCCACATAAATACATGCATTTTAGCTGCATACATGGCAGCCGTCAGCAATTCTGTTTCCAAATTCTCTAGCACTTAAATGTGTCCATGTTATTGTTATTTGGACCATTGAGATGTGAATACTGTGTTTGGAAGTTTCAGGTTATTGCCTTAAAAGCAAAACCAGAGAGACTGATCTATTTCCTTTTCCTTCTCACAGGCAGGAAGGCAGATGTACTGGTGACCCAGCTTTGGTCATTTAGAGGAGGAGGGCATGCTAGGGGAAGGTAGAGCCAAGCATAGAAGGAACTTGGGCCTTGCAAGTCCCCCTGAATGAGAGCTTCGCAGCCATCATGGACTATGCACTTTGGGTCAAGCATCTGAAAGAGGAATAAATCTGTATTCTGGAGTCTCTTTGTTACATCGGCTTAGGCTCTGCCCTTACTAATGTACAGCATAAATTCCTGTGTGGTGATTTACAAGAAATTTGTATTTATTCAGAATAGGTAAATAATAAAGTGTTCTAAGTATTAGAAAATTCTACATAGCAAAAAACACTAATTTGCATTAAAATGACATAAAACTACACTGAACCAAATTTTCTCTTTGGTGATTCTCAGAACTTTTCTGTGTCTTGCAGAGGCTCATGGTCATCATTTTAAATACTATTATAATTATAGTATATGTCTATAGATGTTGGCACTCGAGTAAATCTATAACCTTATGACAAACTCCTAAAAACTCTAGTTTCATTGTAATTTATCTCCACTATAAAAAAAAGGCCATAGAATATTAAAAGTAACTTTTGTGAATGTTCTCAGTATTTGGAAACAAACGGACACTCAGTATACTTAAACAAAAAAAAAAAAAAAAAAAAAAACCATATACAAGATCACTTTACTTCTCACTTGTTAAAACTTTTCAATGACCAAAACTGCCAAGATACAAGATAGTATGTTGATAAACCAGTTACAAAGAAATTAAGGAATCTTTTGTTCAAAAGCGTAGATTTGACATTTACCTGCCCCAATGACTCTCTCAATGCGAATTCTTGAGGGATCAATCTCCTTTGCAAATTCATGAACGGCTAGGGATGGGTCTTCGTATGTATCTGGATCGATGTAAGTTTTAATTCCCGGGAAGCGCACTGCAACAACAACAACAAAACGATTGATTTAGTTTGAGTATCTCTGTAGTCTACATCTTGTGAACATTTAAAACGGGGAATGACATACTGAAGTAGCCAGTCTTATTAAAGACTTAAAGTCTCTCTTTTCTTCCTGTCCCACTCTCTGCCCATATGAAAGCTTTGACTACAAGGGTCAAACATTTATTTACCTCACTGTTAATGTAGAATGACCTGGTGGATTCCTAGAAAGTGAGCTGACAGATTCCAGAAAACACATGTCTCATATTTCTGTAAAATGTTTACTCAGCTCACTCGTTCACTAAACTTCCAAAACAGTCCACATCTGCTCTAGCTTGGGGAATGGGAAAAATGAGGCATAAGCCTCCCTCCAAAACAAGGAAGCCCATTAGGGTCCCTCCTGTACCTTTTGTACTCTACGGCATTAGGTTTCATGAACTCATACCCTAGTCCTGTGGTCTCTCCCCTTTCCAGAAAACCTCAAGCAGTAAAGAACTGACTCCATGGCATAGAAGCAAGAAAAGCCAGTAGGGATAATGGCCGTTTTCTGTATTCACGTAGTGGTTTCCATGGACTGACTACACATAGTGCTGAAAAGGATCAGCTTGTCTATCCTGGTGGGAAGGATGGAAATCAAAGGCCCAAATCTGGTCATTGGTTGTATGTCTGTTGAGCTTCATTGGTGGGGATGGAGTGCTCACAGCCTACGGGCAGTTAGGATGATGAGAAAGGATGGCTAGAAAACATGAATGCGTGGTTGTATGTCCATTTGTGAGTATCCAAAGAAGTCACAGACTGCCTCTGCCCATGAATATCCCTCTGTTTTGCTCATTTATTTATTTCTCGTCTTTTTTTTAGAGAAATGGCAGTCTTGTTATGTTGTCCAGGCTGGCCTTGAATTCTTGAGCTCAAGTGATCCTCCTGCCTCAGCCTCCTGAGTAGCTGGGACTATAGACACAAGCCACCAAGCTGGCTCATTAATTTCCATTTTCCATTTTAGATCTCTAGACAGGAGGTCATTTCTTATATATCTTTCTATCTTTCCAACTATCTTTGGTATGGTTTTTACAGGCAATAATCACACAGAGAGCCTTTATAGAATACAGACTAGTAGGGATTAAAAGACCAATGTGAAGTTTGTGGCAGAGTGGATGGTATTTTGGTTTTGTTACTTCTTAGATTTTGAAAGCCATATAATACCCAGTATTAACTGTTTTTTGACTCTCCTTGCAAAACAAACAGACAAAAAAATCAAAAGCAACAAACAAAAGGTAATAAAGTTTAGAGGAGGTATTGAAATGCCCAATATTAGCAGCAATTTGCTTCCTTAGTCCTTCTATGCCCATTGCCTTCATTTATATATTTGGTCTTCTGTCTTCTTAGTGCTACATATGGACCATGCGAAAATTAATATTTCTCAAATTAGCACCAGAAAAGCATATTTCCAGGTATACCCAGACCTGACACTAATTTTAAAGTGTCATGCTTTTCTTGACTTCTCAAAGTATACATTGGAGAAAAGGAGAACAGATAGTCTCTACCTCTATTTTATATTCCATATGATATTTTTATAACAACTTAGTAGAATTTGTGATTTCAGACTGAGTTCTATAACCTCAAACCTAATAGCCACTACTAATTATTAGTGGTTTCTAATCAGATATGTCGTCGTGTTGACAATATTATGTTAGACACAGATAACAAGCATCATTTAGTAACTCATATGTGGTTTTAACTATTAAACTATTCAATTATTTAAGGTGGTACGCATTTCTATAGAATAAGACCAGTAAATATCACTTTTTTTTTTCCATATAAACATGATATGTGTAGTAAAGAGGAAAATAAACAACCAAACTGAATTCCAGTTTCGAATACCTGGTCACTAATTTAACTTATCAACGTCTTCTTAAACATCAGTTGGTTAACTTTCTTCTACCTCCTTGGCTGTCTTGTTTTCATCGCTTCGTGCTGGGCCCATCTGGTTTGGTTTATGCTAACCCGACTCTTGGAAAACAGATAATAAAGGCCTCAGGAGCACCTTTTCCCTCTGCATATCAGTACTAAATGCCCTGTAGTGAATCTTAAGGTTGCCCAGAGTAAGTCATCAGCCCAGGTGTCTGGATCCAGGTTTCTGCAATCTGTTTATACCCTTTCCGGGTTTTCCCATGCCAGGTATCAGTTCTCTCAGCTCTGCCAGTGCAGTAAGACTCAAACTTACTATATAAACATTCCTCACTTAAATCCTTTCCCTTTCCTGGAGGGTGGTATAGATTGAAATGTCCTTTATTATCTTTCGCTCAATTTGAAATAAAAGATAAATTAAAACAGTTAGGTTGCTTTGCATATTATCTCTACACTGTGGTTAATTAGAGAACATCCCTTTCTTGTTAATCCAGTGTCTCACAATAGAAAAACTGTCTTGCTGAAGTAGTTTGCAATTTGGAGGTGGAGGTGGAGGTGGATGTTGAGGAGGAGAAGTTGTCAATTATCAAACCAACTATAGTGGTAATTATAGGCTGCTTGGGAATAGATCTCTCAAATGAATATAACCTTGTAGTCAGCCCAAGGATTTCATACATATTCTAAGAGTTAAAGAGCTGATATTCTTTTTTAATATTAATGAATTGTAAATTGATTTGTTATATATTTAAAAGACAGTCCCTACAAGAAGGAATAAAGATTCCCTAATATTTATTTCTATGTCTAATGCTCCACTAGATAAAAACCAACTCATGTTTTGGAGCCATTGTGAGTGGTAAATAACTTGATAAAATCAGTCAACTATTATTTTTAGCAAATTCAGTCTGTTGTGTTTTCCAGCAAGCAGAATTGGGAACAAGGTAATGTTATTTAATGAGAAGCAGGTGCAACTCTCACCGACAAACCTAGAAACCAGATGAAAATTCTCAATGCTGAAAGGTTGGAAGAGATTTTTTTTCTTTTGTTTCTCAACTCAATAGATAGCGTTTGAATGAACTCCTGAAGTGCTGGAACAGTACAAAATAATGAAAGAAAGTCACTGCGCTACTTACAATGCCCATTCTGTAAGTGGTTTCTTCTCTTCTCTTCTGACTTCATCTTGGCTTTTATGTACCATTGACATCTTTTAAAAAGATAAAAAGAAACTTGTTTTAAGAAGTATGCTGGATACAAAGCAAAACCAATTAAAATACGTATAATCTATGAACAAAGTTCTTGTCATACAGACCACTTTTACAATATCTTTATAACGTGAAAATATTCTATACAAGGATTTTTATGTACATTGAAACTAGTCCTAGAATAAAATACTGTCAAGTAGATGGATTTGAAAAAATATCTTAGAAAATATTTAATAATCTGCCAAAACCATCCCTTATATGACTACTAATAGCTAGAGTTGGTAAAAAAAAAAATTAAAAGTCAGAATAAAAAAAGTATTTTGAGTCAGTATCTCAGAAATGTCTACAACTGTCTTCCATTTTCATTGCTAAACAGCAGGACGGTTCAGCATTTTTTTTTTTAATATTTGGAATTTTGTAGAGGCATGTTCTCGTCTCCCTGTGGATCATGCTCTCAAGAGTTCTTCAATATGAGTAAATTCTTCAACATCCATATGATTTGATGGTATATCAAATTTCTACTGGTTAAACAAAGTATATCTGTGTTACATAATTCAGTCTTTCAATGGGAATTTTGCCTCAAATTCTATGAAAAGTTGAGTATTTATTCAGAAATGTCTTTCAGTTTGTATAGAATATTTTTCAATGAGTGCTCCCCTACCAAAGTGCTTAAGCGATACTTCAAAATATATATTTTTTTCTATTTTATGTAATTGAAATTGTTCTCTTCAATGCATGGAATGTTAAAGCAATTTCTGATGAAATATAAATTGGCACACATATAAACTGAAAGCTGAAAATAATTTAGCACAATTTTTTCTTCATCATTTAATTCTCCTTTTAAGTGGTATTTCTATTCTGCTCCAGGAATCCCAAATAAAGATAATATTTGAGCCCAACTCTCAAGTTTATTAGGCAATACTTATTTAGCCCGCAAAGATTGAAATGTTTTCTTTTGTGTTCATCATATTTATGTGTTAAGGAAATATTTTCTGATGCCTTAATGAAATGCTTTGCCACATGTGTATGTGCTATTTAAATCATTGTTTACCGAAATACTCTACGAAAAAATAAGGCCTTAACTTATGTTCTTGATACATATAACTGTATACAATTTTGCAATATAGTGAATCATCATTAAATTTCTTTTAAATGTACAGATGATTTTTTTCTATTGTAAATAATATAATACTGATGTTAAATAAAATCACATTTAAGAAATTACTCCCTCCTTCAAAGAAACTTTGAAAATGGAAAACAAAAATATTTCTGAATCAAAATCAACCATCATACTTAATTTTCCACAGTATAGTTACATGATATAATTTGTATCTTTGGAGTTAAGATCTCCTTAAAGTACAACGGAACGCCATTGTACTTGAATAACTAAATAAACTTTCTGGGCTCCAAAGCAGATTGTCTTTAAATGGTATGTAACCTCATGATAATTAGAGTATTATAAAGTATCAGTGACCCCAGTTCAAAATGCATTGGCAGCATTAATGTTATAGAGGTTAAGGAATATACAGTAACGTTTATTCTTCTATTTAGCATTTTCCTAATAAAGTTTGCTAAACACGTGGCAATGCTAAAGTACTGGCAATTTGATTTTCTTAACCAAATTGTCATTGTGACTTTACATATAACAAAATAATTTTATTTTCTTATTCCCTTTCTTTTTTAAACTTGCACCATTAACCCTCACTGAAACTTTCTCTCTGTCTCTCTGTCTCTCTCTTTCTCTTTTTCTCCCCTCCCCTCCCCTTCTTTTCCCTTCCCTCCTTCCTCTGTCTTTCTCTTTCCCTAACAGTAACTGTCTTGGAAACCCTCTCTTTGCCAGAGAGTCCAAAATAGTATGGGAATAATTTTAATCTTTTTCAGAAAACTTAGACCTCCACCAGGCTGTTTAGGGGTTTTATTTTTTATAACCACTTTACTCTGGCTAGTGATTCAAGTTTTTGTAGGCCATGTTTGATAAGCTGCAGTGCTGAACATTTAATCTTCAACCCAATAGTTAATTGGTTTAGAGACTCCAAAATTTGTTTTCTGTCCTCTATAAAAGATGAGCATTATCAAAGCTCTGATGATGGCAGACAGCTGTCAGAGGTTAGCCCTAAAAATAAAGGAAAAGGGTCCTAAGAGAATGCTGGACAACAGTGACTGATGGTGGCAACATGTTATGCCCAAATTAGTACTTTTATTACGATGAATTTATCATTATTTCCTGCATTCTTTCATGTCTGTTTTTTCCTTGTAACTATAGCTAGCATTATTCAATCAGCTAATCACCCCCCAAAACTAAAGACCCCCAAATACTCTCTCTTAATTCTAAGACCATTACTATATCTGTTTATATGCATGAAAAACTTAACTAAACATAGTTGTAATGTGCCTTTTTTCCATTAATTTCACAAATAAGTCATCATTTTTAACTCAACCACATTAGAATATTCATGCTGCTTTTTCCTTGGTAAATTCTATAAAAGGAGGTTTGTTACAGCTAAATCTAATACCCTCTTACTGAAGAGAAGTTGTATATTTGTCAGAGACCCACACTTGATACATGCAAAGTACCTGCCAAGTTCTATACTTTTTGGTGTGCTGTCAAAATTGTAGACAATTATTACATATGTGTATATCTTCTGTAATTTTAAGTAGATTAAATTTTAATAAAATATTGGCCCCTAAGCGGTTTTAAAACAAATAGTGTTTTCGGTTCACTGAAGGTAGCTATTTATTATTTCTGCTCTTTCTGAGGTACCAGTGTTTTCTGGAAGGGTTGGTGTGCTTTAGCTGGAGTCAGCATGGGTGTGTACTGTTTGGCTGACATTCTTTTTGCAGTTTTAAGTCTTGATAGTGGAATATTGCAGTAGATGTGTGTTTCAGATTATAAAAAAATCTGTTGAGGTATTCTTTTGTGCCCCTATTGACATCTAGATAGAATATTTTATCTTCTTGTTAGAATGATCTGAGAATAAAATATTGTGATTTCTGACAAAAGTCTAGGCCAAATACCATTGATTAAATAATAACATTTATTCTTTCACATAATGTTATACATATTATCTTCATTCACATCTCTGTATTATCAGCACCTGGCTTATGGTGTTCATACTATTTATTTAAAAGTCATTAAATGGTTTTAACATACTTCTGTATCAAACCTGTGTAAAAATAGAAAACTAAGGTTCTGATGGGTGAATCACTTTGACCAGCTAGTCAGGATTCAAATTTAGGATTTTTGCTATGTTAAATTTACTGTGAGTTTATATTTTTATTCATATTACTTTGAAGTATAGAAATATTGGATTTATAAAACCAATTAATACATTTCTAACATAGACAGTTTCAATATTTAATTGATAAAATATTATATTTCTGTAACACCAGGTTTATAAAGAGTTTTTATATAAATTGTTCTGGCTTTCCATTAAAATATTTTTTAATAAAATTAATTTGATGGTATAATTTGATTATAGTAAAGGAAAAACACAGAGTAACTTATTGAGTATAAATTCATCATTCGTAGCTTTCAAACAGCTTTAGTCATCTTTGGATCTTTCCATATTCAGGGACCTGTTGACACAGAGAACTAATGATGGTTCACTGTCAGAGTGGATTCTTCTGGGATCCCTCTCGACCTCAGGTGTGCTTTGTTATATCTACAAGCATTTGAATACACAGTGTATAGAAAGAGTGGTTATTCATCTTGGAAATAGTCTGGCGTGTTTCAGTTACCTTCCAGTGATCAAGAAGAATAAAGTCAGGATGACGAGGAGAGTGAATCCACCAACAGCGGCGGTGGCTATCACGAGAATCTGTCCTTGTTCTGCTGCCATGTCAGAAGCTGAAACAGAGATACAATATTAAAACTTCCCTGGGTGACATTTCACTATTAAAACCATTTTACAATTTAATTTATACTAGAAAGTACAATAACGGATGCCAAGCCCAGCATATTTGGCCTTTATTTCAGTATTTGACACATATGAAGCAAACCCAAAATAAATGAGTTTTGACTAAGGGCTGAAGAGTTGGGGCCATAATCCACAACATAAACCTCTCCTCTTTCTTCAAAAAAGGTCAATAAAGTAGATGAATTCTTAGTAGCCCTTATTTTAAGATTAAGTACGTGCTGTAAAACTAAATCAGCAGATGGGCTAAAGGATTCTGTTTTATGTCATTGCTCACCGTATTTCCTCTTAAACACTCTGGCCAACAGACCAGGCTTTATAGACTGTTTTGATATCTGTTTTCACAAAGTAGAAAGACTACTGTATAATTCCTTTTAAGAATGATGTTCTTTATACTTCATAGAGCTTAATCCACACACTAAAATTGTGGAATTCCACCTCCACAGCACAAGGATATGCATAGTGGGTGCTCAGATGTTTAATCAGCAATAACTGGAAAAATGATATTTAAAAGCTTCCTTTTTTGAAGAAAAGACCAGATTATATATGGTAGCAACATGTTCCTTCTATCATTGATAAAACTGTCTCTTAAAACCACAGGAGCTGCATGTTTTACTAATTTTCCAGGAATCTTTTAACATATATCATTTCAATTAATTTATTAGCACTTCTAATTTTTTTATTCATAATGCTTTAATCAAATTTTTAATGAGTGGAATAGGCAATTGCTTAATAATAGAGGTAAGAAAACAGAAGCACAGAAAAAATTGAAGAAATTGTTGAAGCCCACATAGAACTATGACCAGAATTCAGTCTTTCAGGTTTTTGTCTCATTTCTCCATTTTTTTTTTTTTTACTATAACTTGTAGTAATCATTCAGTTAACCATCAATATTCTAGAAAACCAAATCAATCCGTCTCTTAATGTTCCTTAACTGAAATTAAAGTTATTTTTTATTTTGACTACTGAAAATAAATAATATCTATTAATCTCATCAGTTACTAGAGAAAATTGAATCAAATAAGGTATATAACTGAGAAGCAAACTGCAGAAGTCTCTAACATAATAATTTATTAAACTTGAGTATTTTACAGCTTCCACAGAAGTAGATCTTTTTCTGAGAATTAAGTATGCAGTATACTATGTGCAAATTCATATCCAGAGTAATAGCATTCTCATAAAAATGACATCTACAACAGAATGTCTAAGCCTTAAACACTATTGTCAGGTCAGTAAGAAACCAATCATAGCATTTTAGAGACTTTTAAAAAAGTCTAAATGTTAATAAAAACAAAAGTCATTTATGTTCAGTTTTCAGTAAGAGAAATTTATTAAATCTTAGAATTAGAATTTAGTCACTATGATTTAATCAAGACATTTTCAAGCAATCTACTACTATGTTAAGTTTTTGCTCATAATCTGTGCAGAGACAAGTTAAGTAGTTGCATCTTATCCAACAAATAATGTACTGAAGGTTTTTTATTAGGTCTTCACTGAATTTCCTAATCTTCAAAATAGCACTGATATCATGGGAATTAATGTTGTGCTCTAAAATGTCACATATTCTCACTGAAAGTTATTGAATAACAAAAATGTAAGAAATAGTTGTTCTAGAAAACATTATCTTTTTGAAGATAAAGCAGATGGCATTTACCCAAAAAACATTATTTACTTAGAAACTGTTGTATCTGTAAAATATACAGTATAATTCAAGAATTTTGAATCAGGGGCATATAGTTTCATAGTAGTTAGGTAGCTATAATTTGTTGAGTCCAAAATTCAGAGGGAGATTTAGTAATTGGGTGCCTTTTGAAAGTCAGATTACTTTGTTATAAAAAATGGTGTTGTTTGACATACATCACTACTGACTAAACTGCTAATTCTACAAATATGTCTCCTTTTGCACACTTGTTATTACATTTATAAACTTTGTTTTAATTAAAATTTTAATTAGATAACAATCTTAAGTTATGACCCTTTGAAAAATGCATATTCCTGCATAATTGCTTCTTAAACTTAGGAACCATAAACACTTCTCTGTGGAGAATAAAACATGTTATTGGAAAATAAGAGTATTTAGTGAAACACTATTACACTGGAAGTAAAATGCTACAGATTGTGAGGCTGGGATGATTATAAAAACCTCATCAACATTATCAACTTCAACAAGACCAACAGTCATTATTTATTTATTAGGAAACTATGAGCATCAATTCATTATCCAAATTATCTTCACAATAGTCTTGATAGGTAGGCACTATTATCATTCCTAGTTTTAACAGTTAGTTTACTTTCTCAAGGTTACATATCTTGTCAAGGGAAAGCCGGCAATCCAGGTTCTATTTGTCGATCTCCAAGCCCAAGCAATTGCCAGTACTTTAAACCACCATTTTTACTAACAGAAGAACTAACTAGATCTAGCTGTTTTGGTCACCCTAGAACAATCATAGCCTTGCTTGAACTTGGTTTCATATCTGTAAAATGATAATGTTGAATGTAATATTCTTGTCACAATCTTTCAGAGCAATTGTACTATGATATTGTGTTACCCATGCAGGCTGCAACCAAATAGTGGAAAGAACAAGATTTGCCATATGGAAATAAAAACGATCAGGAGCTTGGTCCTGATGGGGTTAATTTTTGTCTTTTACCATATTAGTGTTGGTCCGTCACAGAGCTCTGGCCTCATTTCAGGATAAACTACAAGGCCCTTAACTTTGTTATCAAGGCTGTCTACAAATGGCTCTAGCATATGTCTTCAGATACATCTTATATTCTCCAAGCATACTGAATTTCTTCCAGTTCCTAGAAGGAGCCAAACTCTTAATATCTAGTCAATTTCTAATCACTCCTTCATGAATAGCCCATCATTTGGAAAGCTTTTCTTTTCTGGTTGTTTAGATTTGGGTAGGTCCCCAGACAGATGTTCCCTAAGACCCTTAAACTATTTCTACCAATAAAACCATCACATTTTATTGAAATTACATTTTATAATCCGTCTTTCCCATTTGATTTCAAATTCAGTGAGAGCAGGAACTATATTCACTATGATATTCATAGTGGGGTGAATGGTGACAGCCTTTCCCCTCCCCTCCAAAAAGGAATTTGCAGGCGTAATTAAGAATCTTGATTATCCTGGATTAACCAGGTGGTTCCCAATCCAATGACAACTGTCCTTGTAAGAGACAAAAGTGGAGAAGCCAAAGAGGAGAAGGCCATGTAAAGACACACGTAAAGACAAAGGCAGAGACTGGAGGTATGCAACCCACAAGCCAAAGAATGAAGACACCAAAAGGAAGGAGAGAAAAGGAAGAAGTCTCTCTTAGAACCTCTGGAGGGAGCATGCTTTCGGTCTTCAGAGCTGTGATATATTATTTTAAGCCACTGACTTAGTGATAATTTGTTGAAACAGTCTTAGGAAACCAATACAGTGTCCAGTCTATGTGGTAGTAAATATTACTTTGAGTAAATGGGTTGAATAATTATTTGCACTGTATGGTTCTGGTGAGAAAAGGTCGGGAGTAATCCACATTCCCACCCTTCCCTTGATATGTGAGGAAGATTTACCATCAGTGTAGCTATACAATATATGTGAAGAGAGTGTACCCAACACTAATCAGAAAAATCCAATTAATCTGTGTGCTTGGAGACAATGCTTTCTGGGAGGTAGAAGCTACTAGGGAATTCAGACTGCTACATTTTACCAAGTTGAGTGGATTAAAGCTCAGAAATATGAGTCTACGTTTGAGAATTTATTAGTTCATTCAATTAATATTTATTGAGCAACTAGTATATGCTAGGCACTAACATAGACACAGGGTATACAATGATGAACAAAACACAGTTACCGTGCTCATGGATTTTCAGTTCAGTGGGGAAGACAGACACTGAACAACAAATTACAAAAGTAATTATTGTTACAAAAGGGAAACTGAACGGTGTTGGAAAAGAATAAGCAGCCTCTGGCAGTGAGTGAGCTGACAGGGAATCTGGGAAAATGTAATGTGTTGGAAGAAGTAAGAGGAGGAACAGGATGATCACCTCCTTGGATAGAGATCTCATTAATTTGATTTATTTAAATAGACACTTAAAGAAACAAATAAGCAAACCATGAAATTATCTACCAAATGGATTCCAAGAAAATACAGTATAGCTATAAATGTCTCTGTTATGAAAACTTGTCTATAGCATTATCCATTCATTTTTTTCAATCTTGAGCAAAAGCTTATTTCTCATTAGCTTTGTAGGAGAAAAATGTATAATTTACTCACATAAGTAGCATCTGTTGAAAGCAAACTTGACCCTAAAAAGAACCACGCTGAAGTTCATAGTGTAAAATAAAATTTATTTGTGACTGGCTGATTGGAAATGATCCTTTGTTTAATTGCGGGGTTGTATTCTTGGACAAAGATAAGTATATTAAAATGATGCACTTCATTCTATGATTTGGGAAAAAGTATACTTCCTTAAGAAGAAGCAATTATGCAGAAAGAATTGGGAAATTGTGACTGAGCAACAGCGCTTGGCATAAGTTGTGGTGACATTATTAAGTGTGGTTTGTTTCCATCTAAAGAAAAAAAAAGTGAAATGCTTGACTTGGAATCTAAATACTTAAAAAAGAGATTTCATATCTTTAGGAAAGTGTGAGAGAAAGGCAATTTGGCTATTTTTAACCAAGGAATTTTCTTCTGTGGAGGCATATGATTTTGTCTCCCTGTAATCAAGATTATTCTAGTTTATATTTACATTTCAAAGTAAAATCTGTTATTTGTATTCTGTGTCATTTTCTGTGGGATAGATTTCTAAAGTTAACTCTTTTCCGTTATGAACATCTTTTTAAAGTTATTGAAGACAGTAGTTAACATGAATTTTTAAATAAAGCATCTCACAAAAAAAATGCTGCTCAGTGAAATAAATTGTCTTCATAGTTTCACCAGAATGATTTCTTTAAGCACAGCACAAATCTCAACAAAGCCCTGAATTTATGATACCCAGTAAATTAATTTTAAAGTTTATGGACAACCAATACAGGAAAATTCTCCTCTCAGGTCATGTCAGAATTGGCTTAACTTTTTGAGAATTTAGCAACACAATGGAGATTAATTAATCTGCACATTCTCAACACCACATTCTCATGCAGACAGAAGAGTATGAGATACAAATGAAAGCTAAGGAAACATATCTTCTAGCTGAACATACACTTGTGACTTTGTGGATGATACTGCTATCATTTTGGTCACTGGACTTGAAAGCATAGGGTTATCCTTGATTTTGCATTTTCCTACAACTCCAAGTCCACAGTCAAGTTTTTCATCTTGCCTTTATTACCAGTGACACAGCCTACCGTCAGGCTTCAGCCCTGCAGGAGTAGACTAGTTTTACCATTTGCTTTTAGGTTGCCTTTGCACAGTATCTTTTCAAAATCCATCCACATTATATGGACAGATAATTATTCTTCACAATAATATTTTAAAATATTGAGAACATTTCCCATTGCCTACAGGGTAAAATCATCCCTTTCCCATGTATCCTATTCTCAGAGATGTTCAGGCAAGAAAACTTGGACTCAGCCCTCATCCAATTCTCTCCTTCACCTTCCAAGTTGATCAGTCCTGTCCCTTATAATTTTAAAGTATTTCTTAGATTCTTTCTCATTCTCTCCAACTCCCACTGTATTTTCTTAGTTCAGGTACCCATATTATCACATGTATTTGAAATCAGCTAGACAGCAGGCTCAATTATGTGATTCAGTTGAACAACAGAAAGCAAGGCAAAAACAAAAAAGATTCTCTAGAAAGATAACTGACTGAGGTCCACATACTATAAAACAGCTTTGACACCTCACAGTTTTACTTCATACATATTTGTTGATTTCCAAGTTCATAAAATAGTATAGTAGGCAACAGATTAGAAGATAGATTGGGGAGGCATGTACAGAGAGAGAGTTGAATAGAATTGCACACTGCTAGTCAGACTGATGGAAGAGGTGGAAAAACTGAAAATCTGACACAAGATTCCAAAATGGATACTAGTCAGAGGCCAGGAGTTTAGGATCAAATAGCCCTACAAAATTCAAGGAGCATCAAATAATTCACTATGTTTTATAACTCAATAATACATTAATATGATCATTCGATATTAATTAGAAAATACTGAGATAAGTCCAGTATGTTTTATTTGAAAGGACAAGAGTTTGGGAACGCATGATTAAAAAATGTTTGCCTCCAAACTATTACAAAGTTGTAAAAATAATACTTTTAAGATTAAACCCTGGCCAAAAACTTAAATTACCAAAATGATTCATTTCCTGAGAATTTCAGTTTTTTGACTCATCTCTACTACAAGCCTCTTGAGGGCAGAATAATAAGGTTCAACTTTCTATATAACAAGGGATTAGCATAAGCCATACATAGTATAGGTATTAATACATGTGTACTGTTTGTGAAGAACAGATAAAAATGACATTCTAAATATAAGGATAAAATGCCCTTGGCTAAAGAACAGTTTACTTACTTGATGTGTGTGTCAAAACGCTTAAATATGTTGTAATTTTACATTACATTCCCTTTCATATTTGTATTTTGTAAATCAGTATGTACAGAGGTAAATTAACAGAAAATAATGTGGGTCAATTTCTTTTTCCTAAATATCCCTGCTTTGAAAAAAAGTAAAAAGAGTCAACAAAGTATTATAATGATATCTTTCTTTTACATTTATTCACTATTTACATTTACATTTATTCACTATTTGATGCTATCAACTCAAAGGAAAAGATAAGATTAGAAATAATAATTTATTCAGAAATAGATTAATAGAAAATAATGTGGGTCATTTTTTTTTTCCTAAATATCCCTACCTAGGCTTTGAAAAAAGGTAAATATAGTCAACATAGTATTATACTGACATCTTTCTTTTACATTCATTCAATATTTGATGCTCTCTACCCAAAGGAAAAGGAGCTCTAAGATTAGAAATAAAAGAGAAGAGCAAGAGATTGTCTTTTCCATTCAAGTAAGCTGGTTACTGATTCCTCAGCTGGATGGAAACAAACCTGCTGGGTCATTTCTGTTGAAGCAGAGACCCTTAGCAGGGATCATACTTTTTTTTTCCCCCCAGAAAGTGATTTCACAGCTGTGCCTTCTTCTACTCCTCTGCCACTTCTCCAGAAACAATACAATTGAGTACATCAAACTGTGACTACACTGAAACACCAAAGATTTTGAGATTCACGCTTCCTGATGACCTCAATTTACTTGTCAGGTAAAAATGCCAAATGGCATGGGGATAATTGGAAAATGTGAGTTTGGTACAATTTGATGGAGAGGCAGAAGCAGAGGCAAATAGTGTAGCATAATGAAATATTTTCTGACTTTTTTTTAAAAAAGAGATTCTTGTGTTCATTAATGAATGGTCAAGATGCCTTACCACAGGTAGGCTTCATGTGACAAATTTCAAAGAACAAAGAAAATGATTGAGACATTTAAACACCTGAAACTATGGTCAACATTCTAAATGTCAAAGATGTAATTTGTAATTGTCTGTATATCATATTGTTACTGGCAGTTGAGATAGGTCTTGAGAACATTTTTCTCAAAGAATATTTATATCTTCATGCTTATATCTTTCATCCTTTAAAAAGTTTTTTAAGATCCAGTGTAAAATAGGATTTCCATACAAATTTCACAACTTCCCTGGATCACTGACCTGGAACCAATGATGTTCAATTTTAAATTCTATTCACCATGTGCCATAATATTAATAGTGGATATTTGCACATTGGTGAGCATATCTAGGCACTTGAGGTTATAGCTTCTTAATATAACAATTACTGTGGTTTGAGATAAAGAGCTTTGTAACGAAATTGATCATCATTAGGGATCACACATTTTGTAAGTTGTATGAACTGTATAAACTTAGATTTATTTGGAGTCTATTTTTCACAGAAAAAGTATTTAAAGAAAATAAACTTGATTTTAAAAACCGAATGATTTAGAAAAAAATCTAAATAATTTCTTGAGGAAATTCTCATTCACCAACTGATTATTCATTCAAAAACAACAAAAATATCATTTGCTAAGCACTGTGATATAGAACTTGGGGAGATGAAGAAAACTAAAGTGTGATTTTCTCATAGCGTTTCTCTTTAGTGAGAGAGAGAGAGATGCAGACCTTAGTTGTAATACAGAAACACTGGTGCTAGAATGGAGGTATATGTGAAGGTCACAGGACAAGAGGGGGAGACTGGTAATCTCCACAGGAAAAATCATATGAAGGTTATAAAGAAGGTGATTCTTAAACTAAATCTGGAATGATTCAAAGAAATCTGCAAGTCACCAACATGGTGAGTAGATATTGGACACTATAGCTTGAGGAAACATCACAAATACCACAAAGATATAACTAGCACAACATCTTCAGGAGTTTATATGTACTTTTATATGCCTGGGACACATACCAAAATGCACAAGAGGAAGTTGGAGAGATAGGCAAGGAATAGGTCATCATAATTTAAACTGAAACTGACTCCAGTCAGCATGCTTGAGTTTTTCTCAAGTTACTATTAATATTCAGATTCCAGAATAGGGTATATACAGATGTTTACTGAAAATTGCCATGTTTACCAGAGACATAAACTCTTGCAAATATATGAGAATACTGAAGGCAAACCCAACAGAGAAGAAAACAGAACTGAGACTGAGACATTATTAAAGACATCATTGGAGAGCCTGGATTTGGCCTGACCCTCACACTACCCCTTTGACTTTTCAGTTACCTGAGGCAATAAAGTCCCACTTTTTATTAAGCCAGTACATTTTTGTCACTTGAAATAGAGAGTCCTATTTAATATAATGAACCAAGAGGAAATAATTAGACTGGATGTAAATGCTAATATGTGGCAGGGCGATGCAGGACTTTATATATCCAAACTAGGTATAGTTACTTCTCATTGTTTATTATGTTGCTTGAGTTGAATATTTTCTATCTAACTTTACTATCATCTTTTGATTTTGATGATAAACACAGCCTCTCAAGTCTGTTTGCCTGGTAACTGGATGGATAGGATTGGAAGCGTAGGGTGAAATGGAGTGGAAATGTCCTTACCTTTCCAAAAACAATCTTTTTCTATAGAATGACTAACAAATGTGCCAGGAGATATTCCAATTTATTTTTCTTTAATAGATGGATAGTTTTGGGGGGAAATCAGTCCTGTCTTTCCTATATCTAATGGATCTCATGTATCAATTTAATAAAAATTGCATGGATGCAAAAACAAAGAAAAAAAAAAAACAAATGGGCAGACAACATTTCTGGCAAGTTTAGCAAGACAGCATGTTAGAATGTGGGATAATTTGCTTAACTGAAACCTATCTAATTATAAACTAATTATCACCAAAATACTGGAGCTAAATTCATGTGGAACGCTTTTAGTGAATTTTCACAGTTTATGATAACAAATTTGAGGCTACGGTTGTCCTTTATTTGGCATCAGCAGAACTATTTATGGAAGCACGGCTAACCATCAATGCCAGGTGCCAGTTTTTCTTAGCGTTATGGACCCAAGTATATTTCCTTAAGGGCCTGCTCTTGCTTTATGCCAAAACTCATTTAACCATCTCCTGAAAGTGAGTAAGTTCTAAGGGAAGATTCTGGATCATTGTTTGAAGCCTGTTCTGAAGAACACCAAACTATTTACCTCAAACAACATCTAATCAATCACCAGGATTAATTCTGGACAGATTCAATGGGAGACTATTTTAAAAAGGCCAAACCCATGGTAGCACAAAACTATGGCTCCATCAATTTTTTCAGCATCTCTTCAATTATTTACACTCTGCTTCTCCTTAAGCCATGTGTGTGAGGTCTCCCAGTTAAATAATTTATATTAGCAGCAAGAAGGTTTTCTGTACAGTATTGCCCTACTACTTACTATTATTTTGAAGAAAATAAGATTGTTTACTTATGCATATTGATTTTTTCATAAAATTTAGACTTCATTGCCTAGGGAATTGAGTTAAGTAAAAAATGAGGCTTAACATTAGGATCTACAAATGTGGGAGTAAATACCTTTCTAAAACGGAAATGAAAAGGAATATTTCCTGACATACCCATTCACTTTGTCACGTAATATAAAAACAGTATTGTGTTTTATTTATTAATTTTTAACTAGTATCTTCACAATATGACACTGATTTTAGACAAACTGGGTATTTGCCATCATGGCAGATAGAAAGATAAGCATCTTCCGAAATGCTGATGATATGGGTGTGATTTTCAAAAACTAGAATTGATTTCAGGATACAAATAATTCTGCTACCCTATTGCTGCCAGGAAGAATTGAGCATCACCAACTTTATCAAAATGAAAATCATTTTCTTTGGCAGACAAAAGGCAATTGATCAACACTTCACAGAACGAGACAAGATATTTCCATTTTGTACAAGCATATTTTTTCTGTAGCTTATCCAGGAAAGCATAGTGCAGAGCTACGCAGTTCAATATAACTTTTTCATTGGGCGTATTACTCCTCGGGTTTCTTTTCGATGACTTGGAACAACACCTGCTTTGAAAAATATCCCGGCCAGAATCATCTTTTTTCACAGTATCCTGTGGCGTGGGACTCTGAACTCTCAATGTAGAATATATCTAATGGTGGTGGCAGACTCAAATCTGCTTCCTAAGGACAATCTTTGCTTTGCCTGCAGCCCGTTTTAGTGTAAACGTGGAGAGGTTTTATTTTTACTTTTGCAAAACTACTGGTTGGGCTTCTCAACATTTATAGTGGTAGGATTTCTCTATTGCTTCACCATATTTTTGTACCATTTGTATCATCTATTGATATGAAAGCAGAAAATTCACATCCTAAGCACTCATTAAAGACCAACTTCGGCCGGGCGCGGTGGCTCACGTCTGTAATCCCAGCACTTTGGGAAGCTGAGGAGGGCAGATCACGAGGTCAGGAGTTTGAGACCATCCTGGCTAACATGGTGAAACCCCGTCTCTACTAAAAATACAAAAATTTAGCCGGGCGAGGTGGCGGCGCCTGTAGTTCCAGCTACTTGGGAGGCTGAGGCAGGAGAATGGCGTGAACCTGGGAGGCGGAGCTTGCAGTGAGCCGAGATCCCGCCACTGCACTCCAGCCTGGGTGACAGAGCGAGACTCCGTCTCAAAAAAAAAACAAAAAACAAAAAACAAACAAACAAAAAAACCAACCTCACATTCTTAGTAAACATCCTCTGAGGTATCTGTTCAGCCCTATCTCTGAAAACTCCCTCCACCCACAGGGAAGGAGTTTGGAAGATTGTTCTCCCTGTCTCTGGCACCCAGTCATACATACCACTGGATTACTCACAGAGAACTGACCCAGACTGGACCAACCACATTCCCTCTTGCAGGAATTTGGGATTAGGATTCACAATTAGTTTGGCAATTTTCATGCATGGTTGACACTAAGGGAAATGTGATTTATAAGCAATAGACATGTTTTCCTAAATCAACATAGACACAGGTAGAGCACAAAACAGAGATGAGTGGCTGTGCTTTTATTATCAGGAATAAAAGCTGTCTTTCTTTTTGAGAATTTTCCAGTTTCTTGTTTCAGTTTTTTTTGAAACCTAGTCTGGGACATTTCTTCATTCCTCTTTCCGTAAGCAAGCTCATGGTTTATGTGATATCTGCAATCAAAGCGTCCTATTAGATTATTCCAATTTTAAGTTCCTAACAGGCAAAATTTTTGGAAAATAAATTTAAAAGGTAACTCCTTTCATTTACTTCCTAGGTAGAGTTTATCTTTTAAAGTCTGTGTGCATGGAATGAATTAAGTAACTTTCTTCCATCATGGAAAAATCATGTTCAGTCAGTGAAACTTTACCTTGGCTCTATCAAAGGTTGTAGTCAGAAAGTGTCATGTAAAAACAAACAAAAAACTTTTGCATTTGTTGAAAAAGCTGCTTGAGGCCATTTTCCTCAACAGCCTCTATAAATCTTTCTTAGATCATTTGTGCTTCATGAGTGTATAACTTTTCTATTCTCTATGCACATACATGTGCATCTCTAGTAATGATTATCAGAATGACACTTTGTTCTCTCTTGTGTATATGGACCTAATTTTCTATTTTAGTTCTAATCTATTAAACATTTTGTGCATACATTTTAAACTGCCTCAAATGCTCTTAGGAAGAAGAGAAATGCAGATTTAAAAAATCACTATTTCTCTGTTTAGTCCTCTGAGAAAGCATCCTTATAAAAATTAAGACCAATTTAGATATGTTATTATATATATGGGGAAAGTCGTGCTACTTACTGCTTAAAACACTCATTTTTTTCTGTTTAAAACATGAAATTTGGACTATTATATTTCTCTTATTTCTATTGAATGACATTAATAACTGAAATTATATATATATATTTGAGACATACATGTGTGTATGTGTATATATGTGTGTGTGTGTGTGTGTGTGTATATATATATGAGACTATTCTGTTAAACAATAAGTAGTTGTCAAAGATTCCCAAGGATTCAAAGGCATTCTGAGCTGCAGCACAGAATGTGACAGAAAAAGAGGCACATGCCACAGGTAATTAGAAAGTCCCAAGTCTTTTTGGTGTGTTCTTACTTGGTGCTCTGTTTGTCTGTCAGATAACTTGGAATAACTTAGAAAATAATGGAGTAGCCTTTTTTTCAGTTATTATGCTCAGTAAAAAAAAATGTGATTTTATTCAAGTTCAAATATTCTCAAAACTGTGTCTATTCAATAATTTGAAAAGTAAAATCCTTCCTTAAGCAAGATATTCTGTGTTTATATTCAAGAAGTGATAACATACCTAATACCTATTCTGAGCGAAAAATATCATTTTCAATATATAGCTGAGCTTGATTTTGGGTAAGTTGCTTATTTCTGTGCAAGGAAATTCATGAGGTGGCTATTATTTTAATTGTAAAAAACTTATAGCGGAGTATGTGGCTATGGTACACAAGTCTTCTCATTTCCACTTGAAAACAGAGGAGGATTCCACAGAGGCTGCCCTACAAAAGGTCTTTTGCCAAAATTACATTCTTCTTCTTTTTTATTATTTCCTTTTTTCTTTATATAGGTGAGTAGCAGCTGATTCACAGCACAGGATGGTCCAAAAAAATTATACTGAACTCAGTGGAGTTTCCCTCAGAAGAAGGGTAGTAATGATCATATTAAAAAACACCTTTGAGAGCTTTTATGTGTTCTCCATAGTTCTAAACATGTATGTTAACTTATTTAGTCTTCAAAATAATCATGTGAAATGGTAGTATTATTACCTCCATTTAATAGATGGAGAAACTGAGGCACAAAAAGGCTAATTAACTTGCACATGGTCACATAGTTAGAAAGGACAGAACCAGAATTTACTCACAGATAGTTCAAATCCTGAGTTCGAGCTTCTAACCGCTGTCCTATGTTGTCTGTTTGCACTGAGACATTTGATGTGTTAAGTATTGAAAAGAAAAGTAGGCCAACTTCTAAGCAATTTGATTACCATAGAAACAGTAGAGACAATGGTTCTGGATCTACAAGGTGATATTGCTGGAATGGGCCTGATGGAGGCCCCCTGACTTGCCTACTGTGCTCACTAAAATTTGGTATCTCAGAAGTCAAAACGTAGAGTTTCTTCGGCTGAGTCAAATTGCCCAGTGCTTAAGCCCTGGGCGGTCAACATACCTTGGGGAATTCCGCTCCTCCTTTTATGTCACCTACATAAATTAAACAAAAACTAACACCAAAACTAGCCAATTATCTTAATAGTAAATTCATGGGTATAAAAAATAAAATATCAGGGGAATAAGAAAATGATTTGATTGCTTTTATATAGTATCTATACGCAAGAAGGTAAAGAACATTTTCAATACTATTTTGAAGCTGTTAGAATGGAATTTAAGATTGAAAACTAGTAACAATAATATCAGTATTAATAATCATGTATTGATCTCTAACCACATGATAGCTGGATACTCTTCTGTTGTTAAGTACTTTACAAGCACTGAATCACTGTATACTCACAGGAACCTTAGAAAGTAGGTGGTATCCTTATATCCATTTTCCAGATGTGGGAACTGAGGCACAGAGTGGTTAACTGACTTATTCAAAGTCCCATATTTGGGATGTGATCAAGTCAAAATTTAAATCTAAGTTTAAGGAAGTACAACGCTTGCGCTTGAACTTTTACACAAATTCCTCTTTGCTAATTCTCTTTTGCTGTCTATTTACTTGCGAAATACCTGTCAAATTGAATTGCATGAATCAGCTGCTAACATAAAAATTTTCTTTCTTATTTCTGCTTGTATAAGTTCTTCCTTTTCTTCAAGGCCAAAGTAAGGCCATCCTCCCTGAAGTTATTTGCCAGTTGTCTAGTTTGGAGTAACAATTAGGATTATGGTGATCGTTAACTTTGAATGATCACATGTTACTTGTGTCAGATACTGCAGTGAGTACTTTTCTCACATTAGGAGGCAGATACTCCCTATCCTCCTTCTCAGCTTCACTCTTCACCAGAATCTCTCTTATTCTCTGTCTTAGATGGGGTTTACTGGGACACAGATTCTTCAATGGAGCTTGGCTTGCAGCATGTTTTCTGGGCAGTGACCTCAGCATGGACATGTGGGAGTGCAGGAAGCCCATGGAAAGATGCAGCTGTTGACTTGACACACGGTAGCTGCAAAGACCTCAGCGGACCCCAAGGAGTGCTGGAGCTGGGATGGTCTTCTGGGTTGTCTTGAACTGACACAATGGGCATGGGTCTTTGTACATCACATTGAGGAGTCTTGGATTCTGACTGTCCCCAGGAAGAGGGCATGACCCTGGGACATCCAGCTTCTTTTGGCCAGGGGCAATGTCTGCAGCTATGAGCCTTCAACTATGAGCTTTCAGCAGGCAGAACTACCACTAGTTGGGTCCTGAAGGGGAAATCGAGGCCACACACCACACCTCTAAATATAAAATGTTTTGCTTATTGTTTGTTTATTGTCTTTCTCATCTCTCTAGAATATAAGCTCCAGGACAGGAGAGATTTTTGTCTATTTCTGCTACAGCCTGAGTATGTACAGAATGGGTTCTCAAGAATAGTTTTGAATGAATGACTCTACATACAAATGAATAAATTTCTAGTTTTCCCACAAGGAAACCAAAACATCAGTCAACTATATTGCCTTCCTTAGGTCCCAATACCTGGAGAGTTTTGCATTTTAAGAGCAAAGGAAGATAGTATAGCATGTTTGCTTTACTTCATTTAGGGGTCTAAGGAGGAGAATCCTCATGAGCCAAGAAACCAAGTCCTATGATGCCTAATTGAATGTAGCATTTTTTCTTTCACCAATTAGAATGTACAACTACGCAACTGAGCCTGAGACAAGTGCTTTTGCATGGCATGTTAGTTTTGGTGCCTAACTTCCCTCTGCTAATATATCACCATTACCCCTAGGCTATCTAGATTCACTAAGTTTCCCAGATAACTTAATGTCTAGATTTTCTTGGAAGGGTTGACTTGGGATGGCTTAGCTCCAGTTTTCTCAAAAGGTTCTGGTGAGCAGGTCATAATTTACTGTGCTTTCAGAAAGTCCACAGACCAAATATGAACTGTCAAGGAGACATATGCAGGCTTACCTGCTGGCAGAGAGTGAGCATGTATTAGAATTTAAATTGATGATTCCCAAGGTTCTAGCACCTTCAGTAGGTGAATTTTTCAAGGCTAAAATAGTCTAGGGAATTTGGAAGTTATGAGAGCTATAGGAGTGTCAATGAAAAAAGATATTTGGAAGGTTTTATTTTTAGTGTGGTAAAATGAAAGTGAGGAAATAATTAGATGTGTTCTCAATGGTTTCAGGGACGTCAGTTATGGGAAGCTTACTGTGACTGGCTTGCCTGTCTCCAAAACTACATACAGCTGGAAGAAAAATAAAAACCTAGGAAATTTGAGCCTCAGAAGCAAGGTAAGGATGGCATTGCACGGTCCTCACTAGCCACACGTCTTGTGTTTCTTGTGCTGAGATCATCATCCCCACCATTCCTTGCTGCTGATCTTGTGCTATTTGAGGATGACACTGGTTCTCCAATCAGAGCTTGCAGCCAAATAACCCAGAAGGCTTATCGACACAGAATGCTGGGCCCCACCCCCAGAGTTTCTGACTTAGTGGGTCTAGTTGGAGGTCTGAAAAATGTGCATTTCTGGTGTGTTCCCAGGTGTTGCTGATGCCTTTGGCGCAGGGCTCACATTTTGAAAAGCACAGTTCGAGCTATACTGACATTCTTCCAATTACTAGAAAGCTCCATGCCCTCTTTGATCTCTACACCTGCACACATACTGGTCTCTCTGTCTAAAGAGAACAAAAGCTCCCCAGTTCTCTCATCTGGTCCCTCCACCCTCACTGCACCCCTACTTTCATGGCCAAGTTTGACTTAACCTTCAAGTTTCCTTTAAGACATTACCTTGTGGCAGCTTTCCTTGACACATTTGTTTGCATTGTTCTCCTTGTGCTCCCTTATACAACACATATTACTCTCTACTGGAATGTTGTTTAATATTCTGGGCTTCTCACTAGCTGTTGTGAAAGCAGGGAATTGGTTTATCCTTTTTGTTTCGGAATCCCCAGTGCCTATATCTATATCTGGCCCATTTATTAATATGTTTTGATTGAGTAAATGGGTGAATGAACAAGTTGAACAATTAAACATTCTTCTGCTTACTTTAGCTTTTACTGCTTCCACTCAAGTGCCCTTCTCTCCTCCCTCATATTAAATATAACACAAACTATATCAAATTTTAAAACAAATTCTTTTTACTTCCAAGGGTAACAACTTATGTAACAATATTTAAAATAATGATAATTTCATTCCTTTATCTCAAAATGGGAATAGGAAGTGTATACAAATGCAGAATATATGTATTATGTATATGAATGTGTGTATGTATGTACATATATATACACACACACGTGTGCTAAATTCAGTAATATTGCCATGTTTATTGTTGATGGAATTGCCAAAATTATTTGTTGACAAAATTATTTAGTCTGCTCACTGATTATGCATCCAGCCAATATAAGATAACTAATTTTAAAAAACTGTAGTGCAAGAGAATTTTTAAATGAATGCTGTTTTCCAGAAGCATAAGAGAACATGAAAATCAGTTAGATGTGAATCAGCTATTTTATATCTAGCAGTAAGATTGCCATATTCTGCTCCTTTGCCTATCTTTATAGTATAGTAATGTGCTCACACATGTCATGCTTGGGTTTGTGCACACACAGCTAAATCTTTTAAAGTACTCCTGCAATTTTGCCAAGAATTCTTGTTACTCAATTTAAATTTCAAGGGAACTACTGTTTCCCTTAAAAAAGTAAAGTGTAATATGAATACTTATGCTGCTTCTTAATTCTTCATACGAGCCTTTGTAGAACTGGCTGGGTTTATTTTATAAACATTTGTCCATTCAGTATTGTGACTTGATGGTGAAATAAAGCACAAACAGCTGTTTTGCACTGGGCTAATACAAATTTAGAAGACGTTACATTAGATAATTTAAAATGTTTTTTATTGAAGAGTGGCGCCAGGCAAATTAAATTTTTTCCAACTATGCTTTTACGTTTTGACATAAACGTATGATATTTAATATTCATACATTTTATATGAATTACTTTTAACCTGACTTGGACATTTTTACAACTCTTTCTTTCAATTCTCAGATTTTTTTTCAGCTCTGAAAAATAATGGATTATCATGTGGATAGAATTTGACCAGGACATACAATTACAACAGGAACCAAAACCCTGTGCTATGTCATCCTTCCAGCCTGTGACTTCCCAAAGGACAGCTTCGTCTCAGCATCATGTGTTTCTACCCTTTCCCTGTAAGAACCATATTTCATATATCATCACTATGATACTCTACAACCAGCTAGAGCTCCCCTAATGCTTTCAAACACCATTCTATCAGTACTTACTGAACAACACAATACTCCTATTCCCCACTTGAGCTTAGTGCATGACCATGAAACAGATGAGGGCGAGTGGTCAACCACAATGAAGAATCATATCCAGCAGTTCTGGATTGGCCTCCATATTGCTGTTAATATAATGAGAAATTAGGTTTTCTTCACTTTGCCCTTGATGTTTTTCTGACAACTAAAATACGACTTTTGAAAAGCCACATCAAAATATAAGTCAATAAAGCTGATTTGTGTAGTCTGAAGAATGGCTCTAACTCTTTAAGTATTACATAGAGAATATATTTTTCACTAAATTTGGGGCAATTTGAAATACCTAAGGACCATTTTTGTTCTCTTTAAGAATTCAAGGTTGTAAAGTCAAATAGCTTGAAAGAAAAATTCAAGCAATTTATATGATGGCTGATAGAAAAAAAAATCCATCTCATATCAAGTCAAATTAAAATCAGACTTTGGGGCCGGGCGCGGTGGCTCAAGCCTGTAATCCCAGCACTTTGGGAGGCCGAGGCCGGCGGATCACGAGGTCAGGAGATCGAGATCATCCTGGCTAACACCGTGAAACCCCGTCTCTACTAAAAATACAAAAAACTAGCCGGGCGCGGTGGCGGGCGCCTGTAGTCCCAGCTACTCGGAGGCTGAGGCAGGAGAATGGCGTAAACCCGGGAGGCGGAGCTTGCAGTGAGCCGAGATCGCGCCACTGCACTCCAGCCTGGGTGACACAGCGAGACTCCGTCTCAAAAAAAAAAAAAAAAAAAA